CCGCGTAATTACGTGCTAAATCATTTGAATATTTTGTCAAGTGTATGGAACATGACGCTTTTTAGGCCACGCCATTCTTTCGCGCATGCTAACCGCCACATCTTAACATGCCATGATAAATCGCGCGAAATAACGTGTGTGTATGCCGGCCTAATGGCTCTGTTTCAAGAAACATGTGAACCGTTCCAGAACCAGTAATTTCCAGTTGCCCACCTATTTTTCAATAAGTTGAACGTTTATCCTACTTGACGAATAAATTTATCGACTGGAAATAACCCTAGGTCTGTTTCTGCAGAAATCACAAACCAGTCAGAGCGAATTTCATTGGTTGAAAACAGTCAGAAAACTAGTTTCAACTAATGAAATTAACTCTGACTGGTTTGTGATTTCTGCAGAAACAGACCTATTATTAATTTGTTTTTTGTTTCAAACTATCGATAATTTATCGATAGTTTCGATATTCACCACCATAATTATCGAAACTATCGATATTATTTTTTTATCACTATCGTCACTTCTACTTCATGGAAACACTTGAAGGTATCAACAATTTCTCTAATCTCTATGTATATGATATATGTCCTGGGACAACAGTAAATTTGTAACAATCGTTATTGCAATTGACATATATAATTTTATTGCTTACAATTTCAACAAACATATCAATTTGCCAAAACTGACATAAAAATTTGATCAAGGACTGTTTAAAATTGTCGTTTCGCATTGCCTTCATAAAATCTGATGAACGTTGTTGTTCAGAACGCTGAATTAAGAATTCCATACTACTTTCATATAAATTTGCTCGTTTATCACGCTCAATATCTTATTTTTATACCGACGATATGGACGATGAAATTGAAGGGATAATGCATGATTCTTCTGATGATGAACAATAGAAATTGATTTGATACCAAAAAAATTTAAAAAAGAATCTTAATATCATTATTTTTCAGATATTATTTTGTCATTTTTTCCTATATTTTGCTGAAAGTGTCCTTAACATGCACTACAAGTTTTTCAGCTCGGGCCATATTTTTATTAGGTAATATTATTTTGTTTCAAGTATGATGCAGTCGAAGAGTTTCTTGACTCTAAGTCATATTTCACTACTTTCTGGTTAGATTTCTGAAATTTTGGATTTTCTATATGTGGCATTTTTATTATTTTTGAATGCAAATAAGAGTTCCTACTCACTTTTTCGTCTTTTGTACCTGTTTAATTTTACGTATTTTTCGTTTGTATCTATCTATATTTAAGTTTATATTTTTTGACTGTTTTCGACTCTCTAAAACTCCTTTACATGTTAAGCTAACTCAATCAAGCCAATTTTCATTGAAACTCAACTCTAACTAACCCAATCAAGCCGATTTTCATCTAAACTCGATTTTAAGCTAACTCAATCAAGCCAATTTTCATTGAAACTCAACTCTAGCTAACTCAATCAAGCCAATTTTCATCTAAACTCGATTTTAAGCTAACTCAATCAAGCCAATTTTCATTGAAACTTAACTCTAACTAACTCAATCAAGCCAATTTTCATCTAAACTGGAAAAGATGAGTGCTACCGTTTGGCAGGGTTTTGACAGGTGTCAAAATGGTTGACATTTTTCGACTCAACTTGGTCGACTTAGTAGAAATAAATTTTTTGTTCATCAAAATCTGCCATAGTCACTCTGCATTTGGATATAAGATTCCAATATTTGACAGCTAACCACGCTTTATCTGTCATATATACAGAGTTGTGCCCATGGTAAAAAATGTTGCTTACGGCATCCCCAATAACATATTTAAATTTCATCCAAATATCACGGGTAACCAATTTCCATTTAAATATTGCGGGGTCCTTTGCATATGTACCTCATAAGGTAACTTATCTACGTCAGATTTTCGGCGTCGCGGCGGGCGTCTGCTTTACATAGGCGTCCAAATATGAACGTCTGCCGGCCGAATTAGGTATCTAGGAGCTTTTCCCTTACACATTCTGAAATTTTTAGGCATGTACCAATGGGGTGAGAAAACCCAGATTTTCGTCTTTTTGACTAGCCGTCATTTGTGAAGTTGACCGCTGGACCCCGGCAGACGGCCGATTTTGAGATATGCACATAAAGAACTTTCATCCAAGAAACTCGAACCTTTTGTACCCGATGAGGTGACTTATTTGCTTCTCGGCCGTAGGTCTATTACCGTATATTCCCGATCAATCGCACAGCGAGAAAACACATTTACCCAGAGCGCTGAACGATTCCACACCGACCACCCGGACGCATATTCATTTTCTGCCAACGTAATAGGACCTTCGGCTGCATTCGTGTTCGTTCGAGCACAGCGTAGGCAAATTATGATTGAAGTGGACTAACGTTGGCAGTTTATAGAGCCTGCCTGGCGTTCGTGAAAATATTCTCTAAATAAATTCAATTGGAAATTGGCAGTTATTGTTAGTTGTTGGCCCATGTTTCAATGCGAAATGCGATAACGAATGAAGAAATACCTTTATTAAGAGTTTAAAAATTAATCATCGCGTCTATTCAAAGGCCCTCAAAACTTTTTTGGTAGATTTGAGTTAGTTTCGGTTAGTTTGCGTTAGTATGGGCTATTTGTGGTTGATTTGGGTTAGTTCGGGTTAGTTTTGGTTTAAAAACCGTACTAGGCGGTGTTTCTTTCTATTTCTTTTTTTCAAGCAAAGACATGAAAAGTACCTACCTAATCCAAATTAACCTAAACTGACCCGTCCTGGAAATGCGACCCAATCTCTGTTTCTGAACCTGATCGAAAAGCGAAAAAAGAGCGTGTATAAAAACTAGAGCGTAGGTATGTATTAAATTTTGAATAAATATTATGAGTCACTGAAGTTGGCTTCTCTGACGTTGTGCGACAGAAACACAGTTCAGCTGAACATTAATTTTTGATCTTTTGTATTTGAAATTTTTGATAAAATTTGGATTAAAAGTTTACTTTGAGATCCAATTGCCCAGAAAGTATTCGAGTTATCAGAACCAATTTAGTATAGATTTATAGAGAATTTAATACTTTTTCCAACCATATATAATTTGTTTCGATTTGTTCAAATTTCTTTGAAGATATTGGCCATTATTTTTAATCTTGTCAAGATTTGAAAATATTTCCAGAACGAAAATCGAGATTTTTTAGCTTTTTGAAAACGCCATTTTGAAAGTGATGTTAGAATTTTTTTCGATTAATTTAAACCCGTTGAATCAATAATTGGAAAAGTCAAAATTTCGAAAATATGAAAAATAAAAATTTCGAGTTTTGGATTGGTTTGACTGAAACCCCCCATAAGCAACGCCACTGGCCGAATAATATACATGTTGCCAACTTGAAAAATAACCGGCCAATAGCAACAAGAGCCTGGAATAAACATAAATTGAAATATAAAAAGGGAAACATATATAAATATATTAAAAGAACAAATACAAATTTATATAAAAATCAAAGGACCTCACACACCACTTATGGGTATTTGGTTTTCTGTCAAACAAATTAAATTTGTATGTTAATTGAAGTGAAATTTTAATACATTACGAGGGATGTTTATGAAGTGTATGCCATTGTTAAAAATAATCAAAATTGATGAAATTTCAAAATCACCAAAAATTGGCATTTTTTAAAAAGTTTTTCACCAATTACCAGATTTGGTGAAATTTTATCAGACTTGGCATCACTGCTACCAGCAATTTTGCTTGTTATATAGGATGCGTACTTCGAAAATGTTAAATATTCATCTATAATAACACCAAGATATTTGAATTCCTTTACTTGTTCAATTTTAGTTCCATTTACCATCAGTGGAGATCAAATTGGGAAAAAATTGTTAAATATTAAGATTCAAGTGCAGGAATAGGCAAAAATTGCATCGCAGAAATTGAGAAATGAGAAGGAAATTTAAGACAAAATTGAGAAAAAATGTTAGACATTGTAATTTTTCTATTCCAAGCTCTTATATTTTTTCAAATTTTGGATTTTTTTTTTTATTTGAAGAAATTTAGAAAACAAAAATTGAGAAATGGTAAAACAATTTGAGACAAATTGAAGAAAAAACTGCTAGACAAACAGACGTAATTTTCCTATTCCAGGCTCTCATATTTTGTCTATTTCTCTGAATTTTCTTTATTTTAAGAAGTTTTAGAAGAAAACAAAAATTCATGAGTTAGGAATAGACAAAAATTAAGACAAAGAAATTGAGAAATAAAGAAGAAATTCAAGGCATGTTGAAAAAAAATGTTAAACAAAAAATTTTAGAAAAAGAAAATCGAAAACAGACAAAAATTTACACGGAAAAATTGAAATATGAAAAAAAAAAAAAAAAATTGAAACAAATTGAGATAAAATTCTCAAACAAATATATCTTTAACCATTTTAAACTTTTGCATGAGATCTATTTTCTTAAATTTTCTTTATTTGAAACAAAAATTAAGAACCAGGAATAGGCAAAAAATTCAGAAGCAGAAATTGAAATATGGAATAGAAATTTAAAACATATTATTATTGCAATTATCATAAGTGCCGTTCCGTTGGAACGTTCTAGAAACTCGTTGAATTAATCCACAAAAAGACTAAATTTAACGAGTTTTTGTTACTATTGACATGTTGGAACAGACAACAACAATCAACTCAACGAGTTTTGAATAAATACCTACTTTTAAACATAATCATTGATAAAACTATAAAACAACAAAATAAAATAGGTAATTCAGAAGACGAATTTTTATTATTTTTGAAACTTCTTAATTTATCTAGAAACTCGTTGGAAAATAATAAAAACTCATTAGACTCAATTTTACCTGGGTAATTTGTGTTTTTTATTTCTTATTTTTATTTTATTTATTCATTTTAGGTATCAATTTTAAGTGTAAAATCTTTTAGATTTTTTTAGAAAAAGTAAGGGTATAATATGTAGGTACCTAATGATTAAGGTGCATTATTGAAAAAAAAAAAACATAGATAAATTAGAAAAAAATATATTACAAAAAAAATTTACAAAAATATGTACAAAAGTTTTTTTGATGTGGAATTTAGTCGGACAAAAATCAGTTTTCAAGTGGAAACAATTTGAAAAAGAAATCTATTTTCTGACGGTAATAATTTACCACCAACCTCCGCCGCCACCTCCGCTCTTCCAGCCGCCTCCGCCGCCGCCCGAAGACCACCCGCTACCTCCTCCAGAAGACCAACCGCCTCCTAGAAAAATAAAAACATTATGTAATTAGAAAATTATTCAATTATTAATTACTTACCGCCGCCTCCGGATTTCCATCCACCGCCTCCTCCGTAACCGCCGCCGCCACTGGGAACGAGGACTTTGATGATTTTCACGGTACCGCCGCCTCCGTAGCCGCCTCCGCCGCCCGATTTCCAACCGCCTCCGCCCGAATTCCAACCACCTCCGCCTGATTTCCAACCACCTCCGCCTGATATTTAATGAATTTTTAATTTATTCATAAACAATATTTTTGTTTGCTCAATAAATAATGTTAAAAAAAAAACATGCAAATAATAAAAGAAAAAAAATTTAAAAATATTACAAAAATTGAGTTATTTTTTTTTTTCAATGTGGTATAAACTTACCGCCGCCTCCGGACCAGCCACCACCACCTCCGGACCAACCGCCGCCGCCTCCGGACCAGCCGCCGCCTCCGCCGCCAGATTTCCAGCCGCCTCCGCCACTACTGATGTAGCCGGCTTAAAAAAATAAATAAATAAAATAAATTATAAAAAAAATTGAAAAATCAAAATAAATAAATAATTTAAAATTATGTATTCAGTATGTTGGAGAATCGAACAAATACATAGGTATTGAATTGTGGAAATAAAAAATAAATAAAATAAAAACGTAATTTAAAATAATAGGGAAAAACAAATAAAAAATATTTCTTAAGCCGGGTCCAGACTATGTAACAAAACATGTTGATAATGATAACAAAGTGGTACCTACAACAAATTTGTTGTACAACTTTGTTGTGTAACTTGTTATATTGTTTTATAACTTCCTTTGATCTTTACCGATATCTGATAGATAACATAAAACATGGTATATAACCAGCAAAATGTGTTGTATAACTTTTTTATTTAAAATTCTCTAACATTTTATAAAACTTTGTTATTTAACATGTTTTGTTACATAGTCTGGACCCGGCTTTATTGTTTTTTTTTTTTCATTAATAATTAATATATTAACAAATTATTCTTACCTTCGTTAAGGCTGGCAACTGCAGCAACAATCACAAAACAGAAAAACACCTGAAAACTTAAATCAATTAATAATTTTTACCACAAAAATTACAAATTAATTTACCTTCATGTTGGTACAATTGCCAACTGACTTAGTAATGTGCATCTTCTCGAGCTTTTATATATTATTTTAGAATTTCGAACCTTGAATAGAGGAATACCCTCACTTTTTTGTCTTTTGACGAAAAAATAAGCATCCCCCCATTTTGGTATATACCATTTGGTAGGATGCATTTCAAGTTGCAATAATTAGAATAGAGAGTTATTGTGTATGAGATATTTGATAATAGGTATTCTGAAAACACTTTAAATCTTAATGGTTTTTTAAAAATTTGAATCAAAAATGTTGTAGGTATTCCATTTTGACTTAAGAATTACATATTTTTTTGAGTGAATTCTTATGCTATATTGTGATTTTTTTAAAAGTGCAATAATTCTCTAACGTTAATAGCGTTTAAGAAACAAGTCGAAATTGTTACTTTGCACAATTTGTTGAACTAGTTTTAAGTAATTGTTGTGGTCTTAGATTAACTGACGATTGGAGCCCAGAAGGAAGATTTTACCGTGTTATTATTTTAGTTTTACTATTACTTTTTGTTATTATTTTAAGGATAAAACAATAATTGTCACCTATCTTATATTCGAAATACAGGCTGATTTTTTTCTTTGAATCATGACAAAGTTTAGGAAAATTGCTAATATTCCCATTAAAATTTGCACAAATCAAAATAATAATTTTATATTATTGGAATTCTGGTAATAATTAAATAAAAATTAATTTAATTTCAAAAACAATTTTATAGGAAACATTTCTTTTTTGAATTATTTAATTCCAAAAATAATTTAATAAAAATCTTTTTTTTTTTTTAATTATTTGATTTCAATAATAATTTTATAGAAATTAATAATTTTTTTTGTAAAATTAATTACGGTTATAATTCAATAAAAATTAATTTGTGAATTTAGTTTCAAAAATAATTTTACAAAAATCATTTCTTTTCTAAATTATTTAATGCCAAATTATACACCATTAAAAAGACTGATGTGAAGTTAAAAGCCAAAAGTTAACGACCATTTTCCCGAAGATTGCTGATCGACCAGTGGCCTTTGAAGTATAATTTTTTTAATTACACACAATAACACTTTTGAACTTGCAGGATAGAAACAGGACTAATAAAGCAGAAGTTTAGAGTATTTACTTGGATAGGGTCCTTTGATTTCTCATTTCTAGCTGCTATCTTTAAAGTTTGAATTTCTCGAAAACTACACACTTTGAAACTTATAGGGTATAAAGGGGTTCAATGAAGCTAGAACTCAGTGTACAAAAGATTAATTTGGAATGAGTCCTTGGATTTCTCATTTCTGGTTGTTATCTTAAAATATTCGATTTCTCGACAGCTACACATAGTAACACTTTCAAATTTGCAGGGTAGAAAGGGTTTTAATAAAGTTAGACTTTTGTGTATAAAACATTTACTTGGAATGGGTCCTTCGATATCTCATTTCTGACTGTTAGATATCTTAGAATACTCGATTTCTCGAAAACTACACATAGTAAAACTTTCAAATTTGCAGGGTATAAAGGGGTTTAATAAAGCTAGACTTTAGTGTATAAAATATTCACTTGGAATTGGTCCTTCGATTTCTCTTTTCTGACTGTTATCTTAAAATATTAGATTTTTCGAAAACTACACATAGTAACACTTTCAAACTTGCATGCAGGGTAGAAAGGGGTTTTGAGATAACAGCCGGAAATGAGAAATCGAAGGACCCTAGCTTTATTAAACCCCTTTATGTCCGATTGACCAATAAAGTTCTATTTATAGAACAGTTTTGCGTCAATAAAGTAGCACTTTATTTTACTAGTAAAATAAAGTGCTACTTTATTGCCTACCTGGACTACCTGATAAGGTGAAACAGGTCCTGACAACCTGCCAAAGTGAAACAGGTCCTGACAACCTGCTAAGGTAAAACAGGTATACCTACGCGAATTTTAATTTTTTCATTCAATTTTTTTAATTTTTAACAAAAACCAGTCATAATCGTACATAAAATCATGTATATAACGCTTACATGAACAGGCTTTATTGACTCATTATTTAATAGCCTCGCTCGCAAGCTCGCTCGGCCATAAAATTATTCGTACAATAAAGCCTTACTTTATGTACTTGTTATATAAATAGCTATTCTATTCTGCAAATTTGAAAATGTTACTATGTGTAATTTTCGAGAAATCGAGCATTTTAAGATAACAATCAGAAATGAGAAATCGAAAGACCCATTTCAAGTGAATATTTGATACATTAAAGTCTGGCTTTATTAAACCACTGTCTACCTTGTAAATTTGAAAGTGTTACTATGTTCAGTTTTCGAGAAATCGAATATTTTAAAATAACAAGCAGAAATGAGAAATCGAAGGACCCTATCCAAGTAAGTGTTTTGTACTCTAAACTTCAGCTTTATTAGTCCTGTTTCTATCTTGCAAGTTCAAAAGTATTATTGTATGTAGTGTTTTAAGAAAATTATACTTTATTAAAGGTAAGTAGATAGGCAGCAAGACTGGAAAGCTAAAAACCGGGAGAATGTGATTTTATTCAATCATATTTGGTACCCCAGTTTTATGTCAATTTGTTGGTTTTTCATACAAATAATAGTACATTATTTACCTAGGTAGAGAAGTTGGTTATTATATACCGAGCGCCGCGGTTTATAATGCGTAAGGTATATACTGACTTTCTCTACCGAGGGATATATAGATTTTTTTTTACTACTAACCTGAGAAATAGTCATTATTCAATCTATTTTTTTAGGAAAAAATTGAATTTCTCTCCCTAGGTTAATAATGAAAATAATGAAAAAATACCTAGGTCAATAATGAAAATGACGTCATGATGCAAGGATATTGTCATGTTTCTATTAGTTCAATTTCATACGTCAATTCAAAAAAAATACAGGTTTCTGTAGGTACATATAGGAAGTTATCATAAGCTGTTGTTAGAGGGCAGCACTTTCAAAAGGGCGTTCAAAAAAATAATTAAGAGCACAGATTTTGAATATTTTTTTTATTTTCTATTAGTAGTAGTAAAAAAAATTCTATATATTCCTCGGTAGAGAAAGTCATTATATACCTTACACATTATAAAGCGCTCGGTATATAATGACCAACATCTCTACCTAGGTATATAATATACTATTTTTACTACTGCTAGTAGAAAATAAAAAATAGGTTTGAAACCTGTGCTCAAATTATTTTCTCTTGTCGGAAGTGCTGCCCTCTACCAACAGCTTACGGTAATTTCCTATAATGTACATACAAAAATTGACAGTTTGACACTGAAATTAAACCAATAGAAACCTGTTACGTTATTTCAATATCCTTGCGGCATGACGTCATTTTCATTATTAACCTAGGTGTTTTTTCATTATTTTCATTATTAACCTAGGGAGAGAAATTCAATTTTTTTCCAGAAAAATTGATGGAATAATAACTACTTTTCGGGTTAGTAGTAAAAAAAACTACTTTACGCACTGGTGCGTGACAATTTATGTCTTCTAAAAGGTGCGTCACGTATAAGTACTTTACGCACGGTAGTGGAAAAAAACAATTATTGCGCCTTCACTTACAGTCGGGAATGAGCACTGGCGCCGACTACATGGGGGCATCGGGGCAGGTGCACCCATGAGCAACCTCTCATGGGTGCGGAGCACCCATGGGAGCTCTCGTAGGAAATACGGAAGTACAAACGTGTTCCATGTGGTAATATCCAGTATCATGTAATTTAAATGTACACAATTTTGTATAAGAATTATACAAGTGGTGTGTGATATTCTGTCCATCTGCCCTTCCGTTATTTCTGGTCATTTCTATGCTCTAAAAAATTATGTAGGCAAAATTATTCTCTTGGTTTTATTCAAGCAAGTTTGTTGCTTTTTGGTAATTTCGCTCATGAAATTTTTGACAAAACCACTCGCTTCACGGCTCGTGATCATTCGCGAAATTGCCAAACTTCTATACCGGTCGAAAATTTTGCTAACAAAATTTTTTCTCTTGTGGTATTATATATATATGAGACAATTAGGCAATCTATTCCAATATGGCCGTTCAAGTCAAATTGTAATGACGTTCATAAAAAAAAAGCATTTTGTTTAGGGCCCTTAATGTTGTAGATGCCAAACATGACAATATGACAATGTCAATGTCAAACCCAGTGTTGCCAACCCAGCCTACATGAAATATCGTAACGAGCACTTGAAAATTATCGTATTCTGTCAAAAATTATCGTATTTTGCAGATACAAGTTTCCATGACAAAAAAATAGTACCTATATATTGTTTTATTAGGAGTAAAAATGATACTTTTTGAAATATCAAGTCTGTTCGCACATCAATCACAAACCAGTCAGAGCAAATTTCATTGGTTGAAAACAGTCAGAAAACTAGTTTCAACCAATGAAATTCACTCTGAATGGTTTGGTTTGTGATTTCTTAGCTACACAGCTTTACACAAAAAGTACACTTTTTTGTACGCTCACGTCACTGCCAGACAAAAAAGTAACAAAAAAATGACGTCTGTGAAATCAAACTTCAACATTAAAAGTTAAAGTAAAATTGCATCTACGAGCAACAACAGCAAATTTTGACGGACGTCACGAGTTCACTTATCTTTTTTTTACGTGTCAAATCACGTGACATCTGTCAAATTTTGCTCATTTTGCTCGCAGATGCAATTACCGAACCCTATTCTTATGACATTTTTGACGTTTAAACTATAATCTAGTCATCATCGTACAAGTCTTTGAGGAAACGCTGATACGATTAACCCGATTGCAAGTTATTTATTTTTCATTTTTGTTCAATGAACTCATATGAAAAAAGACAAATTACATCAGCTGGTGATCGAGTTAAACCTATAGTACTCATAACTGCGAAATTCGCATTTTTTTGACATTGCGTTGACAATTTGACGTTTTATGCGTGTATCAAACGTCAAATTGTCGAAGCAATGTCAAAAAATGCGAATTTCGCAGTTATGAGTACTAAGCTTAAAACGGATTAGCGTTTTCTTAAAGGCCTTATGACATATGATAACAAAGACAGCGACCCTCGGCAAAAGTCCAAACTTGTGCT